GCAGAACTGACATGAGTCTCCAAGAAGTTCCGTAGAAAATTGCGTTTGTCATTGCTGGTTTCTGTTTTGTCTGTAGGCGATAAATAGATCCAATTACTTAGTATTAAAAATGGACCACGTAAGAGATTCGAACATTCTGTTGACACCGAGTGAATACAATTTTGACAAGGCACTAACGATCAGGACAAAACAATGGCGTACAAACAAAATCAATTTGAACGGATTTCAACACGTATGGAACCTGCTGGTTCGGAACAAAGGTTGGTAAATAGACAACGAGTTGAGAGTTCAGGAATGTGTTCGTTCTTCCTTTTCCATTCAATATTATTTTGTTTCTCCTGAACTTGTCATTTTGTTTTCCCGCTTCCATTCGACATCACATTCGGTTGTTGATTTTCCTTACTTATTTTTTTTCATTTCTATGTTCTACGTTTTTATTACACCTTTTCTCAATGTTCATTTCCTCTTCCTCGATCTCTTTGTCCTCCATGTTCTGCCTCATTCAGTACACACACACACACACACACACACATATATATATATATATATATATATATATATTAAGAAACGTTTCGTTGTATATTTTAGACATATTCTGTCTACTCGTTTTCGTTAAGATCCTTTCATACTCTCGGATAATTTTTCTGATGTCATTTCTGAAAAAAATTCTCACTCCATTTGTAAAAAAATTAACTTTCAAATAACACAACAATTTGTATCTGACAATAATGGATACTATAATATTCATTGTATTATTAACAATACTCTGATGATGACATGGATATGTCGAAAGCACTTGGTAATAAAACAAGTATGTATAAACACGGTGATTTTCTCTCGTCTTTTAGTAATGACATCAAAAAACTTATTCGAGTCTATGAAAGAATCTTAACTGAAAATGAGTAGACAGAATATGACTAAGCAGTACAACGAAAATGTCTTTATGAAAACATGCTGCCGAAATATATATGTGATTAAAAAGTGTCATGAATAAAGAGAAGAGAAAAAACTAATTTTACCCGACGCGTTCCGTCTTCTGGGGGACTTTATCAAGGCAAATGTCAGGATTAACTTTGCTGCATGAGGTTATCATTCTTTTATCAAAGCTTTTAAATTTGACGAAGTTAATGAATGTTCATCGGCTGAAAATAGTTTTTTCTTTCGTCTCCTTTTATTCATATATACACACACACACACACACACACATATATATATATATATATATATATATATATATATATATATATATATATATATAAAGAGAAAACGCTATTTTTAGCCAACGCTTTTTCATATAAAATGGTTTATTTTTCCTATGTATGGAAATTTAGGGACACCTTATATATATATATATATATATATATATATATATATATATATATATATAGATATGTGTGTGTGTGTGTGTGTGTGTTTTGACCAATAAAAAATATTAAAATTAAAATCTTCAGACACACTGGGCTGCATATTAATATTCTTTCATTTTTATTATTTCAGTTAGATTCCTCAACTAGTTTCGGCCACAATGGCCATCATCATGAGAAAAGAAGATTCTGCTTGTTAGTAGCAGTGAACTACAGAAATGAATGACTTGATGGAGAAAATGAACTTTTGTACGTAGTTTTCATTTGTTTTTTTCATTTTTACCCTGAATTTTGGTCAGTCCTTGTGTTGGTGCAACAGTCTCTTTTATTTAAGATAAGGGTCAGATAGATACATGCTGCTCTGTGTGTGTGTGTGTGTGTGTGTGTGTGTGTGTCACGTTCACTTAGGCAGCTAGAATTCATTCAAACATGTTTTGTTTTTTTAAAGCGATCAAGTAAATCTGTTTTCACTTTTATTTGTTATAAATCTTCGGTATATTTGTAGGTCTTAATAAATGTTTTTATCCAAATCCTGTTCTGTCATTCATTTACATAAACTGGTTAGGTAGGTAAGGCACAGTCTTTCTCTGTCCCTCTTGCCTTCAATCTTTCCTGTGGATTTAAAATTCTCCAACAACTCTTTCCTCAATATGCGCCCGAAATTTTTCAGCTCCCTCTTTCTGGTGTTAAGTAGAAATATGAGTTCTGTTTCCATTTTCTCTAAAACTTTGACGTTACTCACATGTTTAGTCCATTTTATTCTCAGCATCCTACTATAGAACCACATTTCTATTGCTTATGTCTTTCTTAACGTGGGGAGATTGTCTAGCATTCACTGTTATATAGGGCGACTGGCATTACGTAACTGTTCAGTAGTCTTTTCTTTGTTTTTAACAAAATTTTACTGTTTTTAGGTAGATAACTTTCGCTATGGATTTTGATGTTACACTTTTAGTCTTCTGGTAACCCAGTTCCTCGATATTTAAATTGTTGTACTTGCTTGATGTTGGCATCTCCAGTTGGCAATTTGCGTGTTAGGTTGTTCCATTGATGTTGGCATCTCCAGTTGGCAATTTGCGTGTTAGGTTGTTCCATTGATGTTGGCATCTCAGTTGGCAATTTGCGTGTTAGGTTGTTCCATTGATGTTGGCATCTCAGTTGGCAATTTGCGTGTTAGGTTGTTCCATTGATGTTGGCATCTCCAGTTGGCAATTTGCGTGTTAGGTTGTTCCATTGATGTTGGCATCTCCAGTTGGCAAAGGGTTGTTTTGCGTGTTAGGTTGTTCCATTGATGTTGGCATCTCCAGTTGGCAATTTGCGTGTTAGGTTGTTCCATTGATGTTGGCATCTCCAGTTGGCAATTTGCGTGTTATTGGTTGTTCCATTGATGTTGGCATCTCCAGTTGGCAATTTGCGTGTTAGGTTGTTCCATTGATGTTGGCATCTCAGTTGGCAATTTGCGTGTTAGGTTGTTCCATTGATGTTGGCATCTCCAGTTGGCAATTTGCGTGTTAGGTTGTTCCATTGATGTTGGCATCTCAGTTGGCAATTTGCGTGTTAGGTTGTTCCATTGATGTTGGCATCTCCAGTTGGCAATTTGCGTGTTAGGTTGTTCCATTGATGTTGGCATCTCCAGTTGGCAATTTGCGTGTTAGGTTGTTCCATTGATGTTGGCATCTCCAGTTGGCAATTTGCGTGTTAGGTTGTTCCATTGATGTTGGCATAAAAAATTTGCGTGTTGTTGCAATTTGCGTGTTAGGTTGTTCCATTGATGTTGGCATCTCAGTTGGCAATTTGCGTGTTAGGTTGTTCCATTCAAAGCCCAAAAAAAACCTGTCTACTTAAATCCATTCCATGTTCAGTTTGCTTGAAAGATGTCGCACATGTAGATGAAATTAATGGCGAAACTAAACAGGTAACATCACATTTTTGTTCTGCCCCGAGAGTACACACCCGTATCATACGCCTACCTAATCTCGCATAACCGTTAAGGCGGTTATGCGATGACAATTAAAACTCTGAAGGAGACGTAGTCCCAGCACATTGGCAATTTATTTAAAACCCAAAGGGTTAAATTAAAAAAGGAATAAATACATATAAATAAGACTATTTAGCCAGGGAATACAAATAAACAAAGGTAACGACAAATATAACAAAAGCTTGAACATAAAACTAAGAACATTTATCGAAATGGGTAAAGAAATATAGCGAATACTTTGTTTACAGGAATATGTATAAAGTTTGCTACAGGAATATGTATTAATGTTGCAGTGTGTTCGCGGAAAAAGAAGTTAGAGACGGTTACATTTTGCAACAGCTTATGTGGACACGTGTAGAAAGTATTCTACACGGAGAGATATAGACGTATGAAGTATGACGACATAAAACAAAGATACAAATAACGGCATAATAGTAAAATAAGCAAATACAGAGAGGACAGGTAAGTTACAAACCGGTGATGTTAACATTGAGGGTTAAATTAGGAGGATAAAACTACCGACCACGTGCTTGGCGAAATGCAGTTATTGTGTGGGGTTCCAGTGAAAGGCTAACCGGAAGTTGTCAAAACGGTGACAATCTAGAAAGTAACTAAACTAAAAAGAGACTAACAAAGGGGGGGTAAAATAATACAGGTTTTGTCCTCTTGTAATGGAACGGTTGTCTTTCGAAACATTCCGTCATTGCTCTAGTGTTATGATAAAGTAAACTTTAACGGTTAGAAAAAATTAAACTTTAATTAATCTTTGTGGATTTACCCAACTTACTTTCCTTAAAAAAACACCGCTAGGGGACACCGCTAAGCCTATAAATAGCAGTGACATTCTCTGTCATCCTCTTTTTCCTATTTCACTCAGGGACGATAAGTTGTAGATCGAACGAGAATAACGCTTTCCCAGTGGGAAACGCACGCACACACGCACGGACGCATGCACTTAATTGTTTCTAGAACTTTCTCCTACACCAAACTACACACACACAAAAACACATTCTCTAGTCTTTAAAAGTTTTCTTTCATATTCATTGTTTTGTAACACGCAACAATATTCTATTGTCTATGCATCAGCTTGTTTTGTTGATATATACTTATCGTTTGTTTATATATATATATATATATATTAGTCCTAATATTATTTATTACTCGAATTCACATTCCGAAATTCGTCATTTTTGTTGTGGAAAATATAAACCAGGAGACAAGTGGTTTTCAACTAAACACTCGACCAGCCTACTCCCTCAAGAGTTTATCATGTCATACTTTTTTCTTCGAAACGAATTCTTTAGAATAAATATTTTATCAATGGTATTATACATATGTAGAGCAATATAACGAAATGCAACAAACTTCGTTTGTAATTGTACACAGAGAGAAAAACTGAAGATGCCGCATGCGTAATTTAAATTGTATATACCTGTCATCCATTGACTCAGTGTGCACAACAATACCGGCTTCTTCTTATCACTTCTGTTTGTCATTGTTTTAGTTTTACGGTGATTTTATTATTGTTGTTTCTTAATCACACACATTGTGATAGCAGTAATTTTGTAAAGAACGTGATATATTGTATGATCTTGACGTAAATGTAACGTGGAAAAATCAGAAATTAGGGAACTTTCTATACATTTTCGCTTTAATAG